CGCAAGTGCCTTCGCTCAAGTTGAAGTGGCTTGAGCCACAATGAGTTGAGACAATATGGTTACGGAGGCCCGCGCGTTCTCCTCTTGGGCCCTCTTTGGGCCACTCCGTGGGCTCTCTTGGACTATTCTAGGGCCATCTTGAGGCCTCGGAAGCTGCTCACCTGACGAAGAGGCAAGAAGGTAAAAACAGCTGAGATACAATACGTTAGGACCATGACATTTCCGGGGGCGGAAACGCCTTGGCCACCAAATCAGGGAGAGGCAGCTCCGCCCAGAAAGGTAAGACGCGGCCTTGAAAGACCTTGTATCATAAGCCACCCGCGCCCTGAAGGCTGATACAAAACCAAGCACTATCGAATCGAGAAATCAGACCGAATCGAATCAGAAAGTGCGCCGGATCGGGCCGCATCGGCTCGGATTCGAGAGAGTCGGATCGGCAGCGCCAGGATGCGCAGCAGCGCAGTCGGAACATCGGCCCAATCGGATCGCCGAAAGAGATCGGAATCGGATCGGATCGGGCCCGCCACATTCGACACTGGAAGGGATCCATCGGACCGGTCTGCTCCTGCTTTTGCTGTCGTCTCTGCACCTCCTCCACCTCGGCCGGATTCTGGTGGTCTCCGGGGGTCCTCCTCCTCCTCCTCCTCCTCCTCCTCCTCCTCATCCTCCTCCTCCTCCTCCTCCTCCTCCTCCTCCTCCTCCTCCTCCTCCTCCTCGCTCCTCGCTCCTCCCTCCTCCTCCTCCTCCTCCTCCTCCTCCTCCTCCTCCTCCTCCTCCTCCTCGCTCCTCGCTCCTCGCTCCTCGCTCCTCGCTCCTCGCTCCTCGCTCCTCCTCCTCCTCCTCCTCCCTCCCTCCCTCCTCCTCCTCCTCCTCCTCCTCTCCTCCTCCTCCTCCCTCCTCCTCCTCCTCCTCCCTCCTCCTCCTCCTCCTCCTCCTCCCTCCCTCCTCCTCCTCCCTCCCTCCTCCCTCTCCCTCCTCCCTCCTCCCTCCCCTCCTCCCTCCTCCCTCCCCTCTCCTCCCTCTCCTCCCTCTCCTCCTCCCTCCTCCTCCTCCTCCTCCTCCTCCTCTCCTCCTCCTCCTCCCCTCCTCCTCCTCCTCCTCCTCCTCCTCCTGCTCCTCCTCCTCCTCCTCTCCTCCTCCTCCTCCTCCCTCCTCCTCCCTCCTCCTCCTCCTCCTCCTCCTCCCTCCTCCTCCTCCTCCTCCTCCTCCTCCTCCTCCTCCTCCTCCTCCCTCCTCCTCCTCCTCCTCCTCTCCTCCCTCCTCCTCCTCTCTCCTCCTCCTCCTCCTCCTCCTCCTCCTCCTCCTCCTCCTCCTCCTCCTCCTCCTCCTCCTCCTCTTCGCTCCTCCTCCTCCTCCTCGCTCCTCCTCGCTCCTCGCTCCTCCTCCTCCACGGGTGCCTCTGAGAGGCCCCCCTGTGAGGTCCCAGAGCTCCCGCATGGACGGGCTGCTCGGGCGGACCCCGGCCTGGCTGGCTGCCACGGCCCCCTCCCGAGTTGTGGCCGAATGCTACGAGTGGGGTTGGGCCCCCGGGGTATCAGCAGGTGGCCGACAGCTTTCGGCAGTACCTCCAACGTTGAGGACGTGGCCGCCTCATCCTTAAAGATGGGTATAGCCTTAGGTACCCTTTAAGCCTCTAGCGCGCTTGGCAATCCCTGGGAATTGCTGCTGGATGGGCTGGTGGGGATAGTCCGAGGGCCAAGGCTGCGAAGAGCGGGGATTTGTCCACGTCCAGCGCCTGGGCCCCGACGTCCTGGTGCCCCAGCGGGCGGTGGATATGGATAGAGTTCGGCCCCGGGGGGCCCGAAGGTGTCCAGATCCACCGCCTGCCGAGGCTCCGAAAACTGACCCTCCAGGCGGTGGTCATGTACAAATTCCCGCCTCGGAGAGGCCGAGCAGGGAGGGGGTGAGCGCAGAGCCCCTGGCCCAGGAGAGGGCGCGGAGCCGGGACTACCTGCCACCACGTCCAGCAGCGAAGGCCAGCGGATTCGATGCCACCGAGGAGAACTGGCACAGAGGAGCAGACAACGGCACAAGCTGGTGCCATGGAGCTTGCTGGTGCTCATTGCTCGCGCCTCTGCCATCGAAGAAGAAACAACGCTATGAACATAAACGTCCGGAGCGCCGGGCCCCTCCCGGGCGCGGGGAGCGCGCCGGGAGGCGCCGCCGGAGGCGCCGCCACGGGGGGGGCCCAGCGCAGATCCAAGAGATCCGCGCGGAGCTCCGAAAGTTTCTGTGTGTGGCGTGTTTGTTCTTCTTCGATGGCAGCAGCACGAGCAGGAGCACCAGCAAGCTCCATGACTCCAGCTACAGCGGCAGATGCGGCGGACACGGCGGCGGCAGCGGCGGCGACGACCACGACGAAGCGGCTGCGGCGGCTAGCATCACGAAAGGATGGCCAGACCGCACGCCACGGGTGGCCCTGGCCCCAGACCCCCGACGCGGTGCTTTTCACAGCGCGACCCCCCCGAAATGTCGCCCCCTTCCCGGGACCGGCTTTTTTATCCCCGGTCGTCGTTTGACAGCCCGGGGGCCCGACGAGGGCCCCCCCGGACCGAAATAGCCAGAAAACTTCTGTCGCGTGGCCTGTTTTCCACCACCACCACCACCACCATGAGTTGGACGGGGTGAGGGTCCTCCTCCTGCTCCTCCTCCTCCTCCTCCTCCTCCTCCTCCTCCTCCTCCTGAGGAGGAGGAGGAGGAGGAGTAGGACCTCCTCCTCCTCCTCGCTCCTCGTCCTCCTCCCCCTTCCCCCCTCCAACTTATGGTGGTGGTGGTGGTGGTGGGAAACAAGCCCATTATGTCTGTGAAGATGCTAGACATGGTTTTCTAAAATTAATAGGTGCGGTGCCGGATCCAATCGGGCGAGCGACGCTGCCTCCCGTGGCCTCCCATGGCCTCCCGTTGCCTCCCATGGCCTCCCGCTGCCTCCCGAGTGCCTGCTGCTGCCTCCCGTGACCTTCCGTTCTCCCGTCGCCTCCCCCTGCCGTCCCCATCCCTATCACCATTCCCCGATCCGTATCCCTATGTCTATCACGATCCCTTTTGTTTCCATAGTTTGTTGTCCCTATCCGAATCCTTATATCCCTATCCGAACGCCCCTAGACGGCCAAAGAGACTTGCAAGGAGGCTCCAGAGGCCCCCAAGAGGCCCAAGGAAGCCCCCAGAGAGGCCTCCAAGAGGGCCCCAGGAAGCTCACAGGAGGCCCAAGAAGTGCCCCAAGAGACTCCTGAGAGGCCTCTCCCTCCGACTCCTCCTTTTGTTTCCTCCTCCTCCTCCTCCTCCTCCTCCTCCTCCTCCTCCTCCTCCTCCTCCTCCTCTTATTCTTTCTCCCCCACATGTTCCCCGAAAAGCTTCTACCTACAACGGTCGGGGTTTCCGATAGCCTTGACAAGATCTGGCAGCAACGTTCGGCCACATAGGCGGCGGTGATTCGCCGAGGGCGCTTTCGTTCACAAAAACTACCCCAGCAAAGCAACCTAAGGGCAGCAAAAAAGTGAAGAGGCGGGCCGATGAGAGTAGGAGGTGGCGGGACAAGGGGCCAGCGCAGCCAGGACAGGACTGAGAGCACGGCCACGTGCACCGTAGGGCATTTCTGAGCAGAAGGAAAGAAGCATAAACATCAACTTACGGCGCTCCGCGAGGACTTCTTGGATCTGCGCTGGATCCCCCTCGCTGGCGCGCGGAGCGTGCCAGGGGCAGCGCCGGAGGCGCCACAGGGGGGGGGGGGGGCAAGCGCGGATCCGCGAAATCCGGGCGGAGCGCCAATCAGTGTATGTGTTGTCGCGCTTCTTCTTCGAGACACGGGCTCGTGGCCGTCTGATCCAAACATAATACCCTGCACTGAAAGCGAGGGCACGAGTCCTGAATAGTGAAGTGATGAGGAGGTCTCACACGAAACGGACGCCGGAAAGGGCGTCGCGGGGCTCCCCGTCCCCCCTTTGAGAGAAGGGGCCCAGGGGCACACGAATAAACACACCCACACAAATACCAAGAGTCCCCATATTTGCTCATATGTTCTTGTCTTTCGTCTTCCCCCCATTTCCCATATCTTCCAACATTTCCTGGGGATAAAAGATTAAGCATGTCTGTATGTTTTTTCTCCTCCTTATTGAGGGTCTTGTGTTTGGTCCAGTCCACCTCCACGAGACCCCGCTGTCGTGAAACGCTGCGAAGGAAAAAACCCTTGGAACAGGAAAATCCGATCTCGGCGGCGAGCCTGGGGGGGTGAGAGAAGGGGCGGGCCTTCTCGGAAGGCTCGGAAGTCCCCCGGCCTTCTGAGAAGTTTCCGAAGCCCTCCCCGAAGACACAGAGCACTTCTCACGAGGCCGGAGCGCCCCTGAGAAGCCACGCCGCCTTCTGAGAAGGCCTTCTCCTCCTCGCTCCCCCCCTCACTCGCCGCCGACCCTGGGAGCAGAAGACACTTACTTGGACGCCCGACATGGGTACGGAAAAGTGGGCACAATGCCCAGCAACAAGTGTTGTCACAAACCAACAGCGGCTGCTGTTGGGCAGGCGGCCTGCTGTCTCAAACGGACACCGTCCGCGGCGACGCCGACAGCGAATCCTGTTCAAAATGACAAGGAACTGCTGTCGGTCTTTGTACCCATTCTCTCCGTACCCATGTCGATCGTCCCGAACTTACCAACTAAAAACCACCGGCAGAGTTACTGGCAAATCTCAGCCTCGACAGTGATCAAGAGTCTGGAGTCCCGAAACGGTGCGATGACAGACCGTGCGGTGACCTCGAAATCCCTCAAGACCTCACCGCACTGTCCGTCACCGCACGGTCTTGGGACCCCGGAGGCCCCAATCGCCCGAGACGTCCTCGGAGAACGACCCCAGTCCCAAAACCGTGCGGTGACCCCGAATCCCCACCGACTCACCGCACGGTGTGTGGTCACCACCCTGTTTAGGGGCCCCCGAAAGAGATCGGCTCCGCCGCCGCGCCCGGGGCGGCGCGCGAGCCGGCTGCAACTCCCCAGCGCCCGCACCCCCCCGACCTCGTCGTTGCCGCGGGCCTCTCGCGTCACCTGGTCGTCGCAGGTGGGGCAAGTCGAGGTGATCTCCTCCGAGAGGGCACGGACGAGGGTCTCCTCCTGCAACTCCTCCAGCTCCTCCTCCTCCTCCTCCTCCTCCTCCTCCTCCTCCTCTTCATAAGCATAATCATCATCACCACCATCATCATCATCGTCATCATCATCAGTATCATCATCAGCATCATCAGCAGCAGCATCAGCATCATCATCAGCATCGTCATCGTAATCGTCATCATCGTCATCATCGTGAGCAGCAGCAGCAGCATCATCATCATCGTCCTCATCATCGACATCATCATCATCAGCAGCATCATCATCGTCAACATCAGCATCATCATCATCATCATCATCAGCAGCATCATCATCATCAGCATCAGCACCGTCAACAGCAGCAACATTATCAATATCAGCATCATCATCATCATCATCATCATCATCATCATCATCATGGTAATCATCATAAGCATCATCATAATCAGCATCATCGTCATATCTAATGGTCGTCATCATCATCATGATCAGCAGCAGAAACATCATCAACATCACCATCATCGTCATCAGCATCACCATCAGAAGCATCACCAACATCATCAGCAGCATCAGCATCAGGATCAGCATCATCATCAGCAACATCAGCATCAGCATCAGCATCATAATCATCACCACCACCACCAGCATCATCATCATCGCCAGCATCCTCATCATCAACACCATCATCACCACCACCATTATCATCAACAACAGCATCAGCATCAGCATCATCATCAGCATCAGCATCATCATCATCATCATCATCATCATCATCATCATCATCATCATCATCATCATCATCGTCAGCATCATCATCAGCACAATCATCAGCATCATAATCATCATCATCAGCATGGTCATCATCATCATCATCATCATCATCATCCTCATCATCATCATCATCATCATCAGCATCATCATCATCATCATGGTCATCATGGTCATCATCATCAGCATCATCACTATCGCCATCATCGTCATCATCAACCACAGCATCATCATCAGCAGCAGCATCACTAACATCATCATTGTCATGATCAGCATCATCATCACCATCGTGATAATCATCAACAGCATCAGCATCATAATCACCAGCATCAGTATCAATATCATCATCATTGTCATCATCAACATACTCATGATCATCAGCATCATCGTCCTATCAAAATCGTCATGATCAGCATCATCATCAGCAGTATCACCATCATCATCAGCAGCAGCATCATCATCATCATCATCAGCAGCATCAGCATCAGCATGAGCATCAGCATCAGCATCATGATCAGCAGTATCAACATCAGCATAAGCATCATCATCAGCACCACCATCATCATCATAGCCATCATCCTCATCATCAGTATCATCACCATCATCATCAGCATCATCATCTGCATCATCATCATCAACAACAGCATTAGCATCCTCATCATCATCCTCATTATCATCATCGACATAATCATCATCATCAGCAGCAGCATCAGCATCATCAGCAGCACTACCATCATAATCAGGATCATCAGCAGCATAAGCAGCATTATCAGCATCATCATCAGCAGCATCAGCATCAGCATCAGCATCATCAGCAGCATCAGCCTCATCATCAGCAGCATCAGCATCAGCATCAGCAGCATCAGCAGCATCATCATCAGCATCATTATCATCGATGGTTCTCCTCTGTTTACTCCTCCTCCTCCTCCTCCTCATCATCATCATCATCATCATCATCATCATCATCATCATCATCATCATCCTGCTCTGGCGGGAACGACAAGGAGACGAAGGTGATCTCCTCTGAAGGACAGGCGGGGACGACGAGGAAACGACCACACGATGAGGAGGCAACTCATCGGAGGTCTTCAGAACGATTCCAGGCTACTATGCCTTTGAGTCCGAATGGAGGGCTGCTAGGCCAGGTTAAGCCCAGGATTAAGCCGGATGAGACGGGATCAAGCCAGCGCGGCGCGGGAGATGGATAAGACGGATGAGACGGATCTCTTGGACCGGCGCGGCGCAGGAGTCGCCTCCGGGGGGGTATCGGAGCCGCTCCCCCCGCCATGGCCCGCCCGCCCGATCCGCCCGTCATGGTCCACCCGCTCGCCTGCTTGGTAGATTCGCCCCGCCCGACACGAAGGGCCGAACAGTCGTATAGCTCCACCTCATTCCTCGTCCCCTCCCCCATCCCCTTCTGATTGATTCCCCCTCCTGGGATGGGGGGAGTCGGAGTCGGAAGCCTTGACAGCAATGGACCCTCTCCTCAGCCAGGCACGATGAAAGAACGCTGCTCGCGTATCTTCGAGCTGGCAGCTGCTGGCGGAGATGGAAGGCGTCTCTGGAGGATCTCTCGGGCGCCGCGGCCTTCTCAAAGCGTTCCGGAACGCTCTGAGGGCGTTCCGGGAGGCTCTGGAACGGATTTACCCGCGTCCTAGCCTCGTCCAACCCCCCCCCCTCTGATTGACTCCCCCCCTCTCCTGGGATGCGGGGAGGGGGAGCGGAACGAGGTGGATCTGCACAGCTGCCCTCCCTCCGAGACCCGCCCGACGGGGCCAGCCCAGCCAAAGCCGAGCCCCTCCCCGCCCCGATCTCGCGCGGCGCCCGCGCGCCCCGGCCGCCAGCTGCCCGTCCGCCCGCCGTCGCCTGCCAGTAGGGGCCCTCGGAGAGCCCCGCCCGCGCGATCCGCCCGCAGGGGTCGGCCCAGCCGGCCCCAAGCGCTTCGAACAGCATGTCGAACCCTATCCCAGGCTCCGTGGCGCTTTCGAACGGGCCAGGAGTTTGGGACCCGAGGCTGGGGTATACGGCGGGGGGGGGGGCGTCCATGCACGGCAGAGGGGTGCGTCCGAAGAGCCCCCTCGGGGTGTATCCCAGGGAAGTCCCTCCGTTCCTGAGCGGCTGTACTTGCCGTCGAGAAAAAATCGCCTGCGAATTCCCATGCCCCACACGCACGGCTTGCCATCATATGGAGTCTGGCCATCTCGCTGGCTCGAGCACCTGCCCTCATGCCCCGCCACCCGAACCGCCTGTCTGGCATGCTCTGTATTCGGTTGTCCCTATGAGGAGCCAGGTTCCGCTCGCCTCTGATCTGCTTCGCCGCTCGCCCTCCCCTGCCAACACTTCACTGCCACCGCGTCAATATTGAGTTTCCTAGACTTCCACGAAGCCGGCAGGCGGACATGGGGAATAACAGAGGGAGGGAGGAGGGAGGTGGCTGTGGTATGAGGATAGGAGTCCCAGGATGAGAAAGAGGTTGCGGAGGTGCAGGAGACAGAATTGACGAAGCAGGCATGCAGAGTTGCCAGATACGTAGATGAACTTCACCTGTAACTGCGTGCCCGCTGTTCTGGTAATGAAGCCAGCGGCCCCGCTGGGTCCATAGGACGGGCCAGCGCGTGGGCGGGGTCGAGCCCACGTGACGTGTCGGGCGGGCGAGAACTTGGTGGAACAATCCGAGCACGCGAGCCTGGCGGACACCAGCAGCGAGCAGGGAAGGACATCACCACCACCACCACGGCAAAGGGGCAGAGAGAGTGTAGGCTCTCGCGGGGGTGCGGTGCCGCTGCCACCTCCGATCCCCAGCTCGGGGCGGCATCGGGCCACTCGGTGGACGCCCCGTGCGCTGGCAGGGCTCCCTGGGCGGCGCCCGCGGGCGCCTCGTGGGCGCCCCGCGCGCAGGCCGCCCTCTCCGGGCCTCGCACGGTGTGCGGCCGGGGGCGCCCCCATGTGCGCGCCATGTGCGCCGGCTGGGTTCTCCGGTGGTTCGCCCCGTCGGCGCCCGAGGGCGCCCCGTGGGCGCCGCGCAGGCTGGCTGCTTTCAGATTGCACGGACACCTCGTTTTGCGCACAGCTCGTCATTCAGACCCCATGGAGTGCACAACGTGTCCTGCCTCCAGACAGTGCACGGCACCAGGAACCTTTTTCTGAGAAAAAATGATTCACCATCCCGAGCCTGGGTTTAACAGTCCCCTCAAGGCATTGCAAGTCACACTTGATTCTGCCTCATCATTCATTTTCCATCTGGAATCACACCATCCCAGCATCTTCCCCCGCTCATCCCTCTCAAATAGCACCATGGGCGCACACTCGATTATAATCAGATTCCCTGAACCCTAACAGTGCTTGCTCTTCGCGGTCATGCTTCGTTTACTGAGGACCTAGATGGGTCCGCCGAGGTTTCGCCACGTTGCTGCCCGTTGCCTTCTCATTGCCGCCTCCTCCGCTGGGTGGGTCCCGCGAGGTTGCGCTACGCTGCCACCCGCTGCCGCCTCAATGCAACCTCGTGCTGGGCGGGTCCGAGCAAGGCTTCGCAACCTTACCGGCCGTTGCCGCCCCGTTGCCGCCTCGTTGCCGCCTCTGGCGCTGGGTGGGTCTGGCAAACTTTCGCCACGTTACCGCCCGTTGCCACCTCGTTGCCGCCTCATGTGTTGGGTGATTCGGGCGAGGTTTCGCCACGTTGCCGCCCGTTGCTGCCTCGTCGACGCCTCGTTGCCGCCTCGTGCGCTGGGTGGGTCCAACGAGGTTTCGCCTCGGTTCCGCCAGTTGCCGCCTCGTTGTCGCGCGCTGGGTGGGTCTGGCGAGGTTTCGCCACGTTGCCGCCCGTTGTCTCCTCACTGCCGCCTCGTTGCTGGGTGGGTCGCTGGGTGGGTCCTGGAAAAGACTCGCCACGTTACCGCCCGTTGCTGTCTCGTTGCCGCCTCGTTGCCGCCTCGTCCGTCGGGCGAGTCTGGCGAAGTTTCGCCACGTTGCCGCCAGTTGCCGACTCGTGCGCCAAGCAAGGTTTTGCCATGGTGCCGCCCGTTGCCGCCTCGTTCGCTGGGGGGTCCAGCGAGGATTCGCCACCTTGCCGCCCATTGCACCTTCGTTGCCGTCTCTAGTTCAAACTGCGTATACTGCACCACAAAACGTACACCACGGTACCTCGCACCATGTAGCTGACACAGCCACAGTGCAATAAGTCAACGCTGATTATCACATTGAGAAAGTACATGTGTGCGTACAGTGCAACAAAATTCAAGCGCGCGCACACACACACACACACGTCGAGAGCAAACCAAATACACGAAGGGCTGCAAGCATCTCAACCCAAAAACAGTCAAACATCAAAAATGGCGCCTCCTGATTGAAAATGTATTGGCTGTTGAATCAAGACCACATGCGCGCGCCGCCACTCGCGCGTGTCGAAACCCTTACAAGCCCAATGCTTTCGAAGCAATTCAATATAGAGCTCTGGATTCTGAAATTTCCGCACGCACACCCCTCATCACCCTCATCAGTGCCATCGCATCACCACCGTGATCGTCATCATTAATCGCCGTCGTTACCACCATCATCATCACAACTTCCCTTCATCACCGGCATCTGGACATCATCGTCGCCATCGTCGTCAACAAAATCGGCGCCGTCATGGGCCTTGCCGTCGCCATCGTCATCACCGACACCACCACCGTCACTGTAATCATCGTTGGCGCCGTTGTCGACGTCATCATGGTATTGCGCCCGCCAGGGTCACCGACCCAAACTGAAGCGCCCACGCGCCAGCGCGGCCTGTCAGAGCCGCTGTGAAGCTATCAGCGACAAGCGCCATCGCGGCCGCAACGTTAGCGCCAAATCCGCTGGCCGATCTGCGCGTAAGAGGGCGCGCGCCACCGTGGCCGCACAGATGCGCTAGCAAGTGGAATTGACAGTCCGACTATGGCAACTATCAGGTGCACACATAGATTCTCCATGGTCTATATGCATTAAAACTCTACGACCCTCGACCCCACGGGGCGTACTGCAATTTACATGCGACCCTGTCTCATCGCTCATTATAGCATCCACATGGAACCAAACAATCCCAGGCAACTGGGTATTGCACCACGCCCCGCGTTTCAACGCCTGTCAAACAATGATACGCGTGCACACTCTTTCCTACTCACGAGACCAATTTGCAAGACCACCTTGCGAAACAGTACAACAATGTCCACACACGGGCGAACACATCGAAATAATACGAAACATCTCAGCGCTGCAAGCATTCCAACCCAGAAACACCCAAGCCAACTGGTTTTCCAAGAAACAGGCTGCAACGTTTCTGCCAACGCGCACTCCCACGAATCGTAGGGAACCGTATGATGTTAACGATCTCGTCCAAAATCCGCACTCTCATATCACCAAGCGGTGCACCTGCGTTGCTCTAGCACGCGCACAGCGCAAAAATCCGTATCGAATAGCACCATGTGGGCCATTCGCGCGCCGCCACGCGCGCGTCGAAATCCGTCCAATACCCCGTTGGTTTTCGAAACATAACACGCCAGAGACATTGGATTCCTGCGCGCGCAGTTGTTCACCCTCACCCTCGTCATCGCCATCACATTACCACAATTTGCGTCATCGTGAGTCGGCGCCATTGCCGCCATCATCAATCAACCAACTTCATCGCCAGCATATGGACATGATCGTCGTCTTCGTCTTCAACAGCATCGGCGCCGCCATAGGCTTTGTCGACGTCATCGTCATCACCGACACCACCAGCGGTACTGTCACCATCGTTGCCGCCGTTGTCGGCGCCATGGTGATATCGCGCCCGCCAGGGTCACCGACCCACACTGAAGCGCCCACGCGCCAGCGCGGCCTGTCAGAGCCGCTGGGAAGTTCCCAGCGGTAATCGCCATCGCCGCCACATCTGTTGTGCCCAACCACCTGGCCGCTCTGCGCACGAGCGTGCGCGAGCCACCGTGGCCGTCGGACAGAGGCGCTAGCAAATGCCAATCAGTAACCGCAATCAGGGCCGAATGGATGTTGCCGAACAAATTGCGGGTTGGAGGGTGGGATGTGTGAGCGAGCTGTGGAACTGACAGCTTCAACTTCTTCATTATTCATTGCACCGCATTTGCCGCAAGCCATAACATTCAATTGCACATAACCGGTAGCACCACATAGATTGTTGCTGGAATGAAAATCAGGTGTTGCACCACAGAGAGTGCACGACATAGCTTCCACCACATAGACAGCGCCACGTAGATTACACCAAATAGTGTGCACCACACAGTTTGCAGCGTATAGTCTGCACCACAAAGATTGTGACTTACAGACTGGACCGCGTAGACTGGACCACATGGCTTGCAGCACATGGACTGTATCACACAGCTTGCACCGCATACGTTGCACTACCCTGCTCTGCACCACAAAGAACTCATCTAACATAGATTGCACCATATAGCTAACACATTCTGAGTGCCAGGGCTCTCTGCTCGGAGTCCACGCTGGCAAACCAAGAATACACTTACCACTTACAACATTCAGAACCTGACTCGAGCCTCGCTTCCTCGTGACATCCTTTTAATCATAAACGTTCAAAATCCTATCGGATGTCTCAGGTCGGCGCCGGAGGCGCCGCCAGGGAGGTCCAGCGCCGACCAGTGAAATCCGTGCGGCCCTCCGAAAGTTGATCTTCTTGCTCGAGCCTCGTCCCTGTAAAGAAATGGCTCCGAGAATCGGGAACACCATGTCCCTGAGAAGAGAGGGATATAACTTGTCCTGTGGGATCTCCTTCCTCGAACCTTTGTCCCTGTAAGGGGGCACGACGACCGGGAATCGGCGATGCATCGGCGCCAGATCAGCGACAGGCTCCGGATACAGTCGGAGCGTTGACCAAAGGAACCCTAAATAAGGAACGAGGCCCCTTTTTCCCTTGAGTTGAACTTCGATTTCCCCTGGAAAGCCTCAGGAGAACCTGAGGCAAACTGTTGAACAATCAAGGAACATCGAGCCCCTCCCCAACGAAAAGGGTTCCTTCTTCAGCACCCCGACTGTGCCGAAAGACTGGACGCTCCTGGGCGCGGCGGGTGGGCAATCGGAGGCCGACGCCTGCCTGCACGAGCGAGCCTCGGCGGCGCGCCGGGGGGGAAGTGAAAAGGGGCGGGCCTTCTCCCGGAGGGCCCGGAAGTCCCCCAGCCTTCTGAGAAGCGTTCTTCGCACCCTTCCCCGAGGACACGGAAAACTTCTCGAAAGGGGCCCTAGGACACACAAATAAATACACACAAATAAAAAGAGTCCCCGTGTGCTCCCATATTTTCTGGGTTTCTGTCTTCCCCCACCCTTCCCATATTTTTTCCATATTCTCCTGGGGATCGTCGATTAATTGTGTCTGTGTGTTTTTTCCCCTCCTGATTCTCGGAAGGCCGGGAGGAACTTCTGAGGAGCCCCGCCGCCTTCCGAGCAGGCCTTCGCCCTCTCACTTCGAGCCCTCGCTCGCCGCCGCTCCCCGCGTGAGCCTGTCCCCGCCCGCAGGCGCCCCGGACTGGCACCCGCCGGCACCCCTGGCGGGGGTCCCCGTACATGATGTTGAAGAACGACACGGAGGCGTTGCTCGCCGCACTGCGGGCGGCTGGAGCCGCCGCCGTCGCCGCCGCCGTCGTCGACGTCGCCGTTGTCGCCGTCGTCGTCGAGGTTGTCGTCGCCGCCACCAACGCCGCCGCCGTCGTCGTCGTCGACGTCGCCGTCGTCGTCGTCGCCGCCACCGCCGCCGCCGCCGCCGCCGTCGCAGTCGCCGCCGTCGCCGTCGCCGCCGTCGCCGTCGCCGCCGCCGCCGCCGCCGCCACCGAAGGCCCGAGGAGCGGCGGGGGGCACGAGCGGGAGAGGGCCGGCGCTGCCGCACGAGCCTCGGCGGGGCGGCGGGCACGGCACAGGCCGCCCAAACCTCGCACCTCGCGACCTCGCTCGGTGGCTCAAAGATGGGGCCCAAAGGTCAGGAAGGGGTCCAAGGGTGGACTTGCACTGCTTGAGGCACCTCGCCCTTGGGGCCCCATCCCTCAGGGCCCCGTCCTTGAGCCACCGAGCGACGCAACGAGCTGCGAGGCGGAGAAAGAAAAAAAAAAAAAAAAACGCCATGAGCGTAAACTCTGGGCGCTCGGCGCGGACTTCTTGGATCCGCGCTGGACCCTCCTTCCCTGGCGCGCGGAGCGCGCCAGGGGCGGCGCCGGAGGCGCCGCCAGGGGGGGGGGGGGGCAGCGCGGATCCACGAGGTCCACGCGGAGCGCCAAAGGTTTATGTTCATGGCGTTTCTTATTCTCCGACTCGCACCTCGTGACTTCGCTCGGTGGTTCAAAGATGGGGACCCGAGGGATGGAGCCCGAAGGGCGAGGTGCCTCCAAGCACTCTGAATCCACCCTGCTGAACCTCAGGACCCCTCCCCCTGGACCCCGTCTTTGAACCACCGACTCACTGCGCGCAGAGCGCGAAGCCTCTGCAGCGCCGCCCCAAACGGTCGGGAACCTTTGCTCCGCGCGGCGGCGGCGGCCCCGAAGACGCACCCTGCCCTGCAAACGGATCGCGTGTCGCTCCGCTCCGCGGCGCGAGAGGCTCAGGAAAGCTCGGGACATTGAGGAGGAGGAGGAGGAGGAGGAGGAGGAGGAGAAGGAGAAGGAGAGGGAGGAGAAGGAGGAGGAGAGGGAGGAGGAGGAGGAGGAGCAGGAGGAGCAGGAGGAGCAGGAGGAGGAGGAGGAAGAGGAGGAGGAGGAGGAGGAGGAGAGGGAGGA